TTAATTTAAATCTAGTGCTATTATTACTTGAACTTATAGCTTAATCTTGAAGTTATTCTATCTTGACTTAGTATTCTGTACGAATAATTGATTTGTCAGCATGTCAAGTGTTATATATCTTATACTTTAACATATTAAAGTTACGGTAGACCTTTAGATGCTTTTTCTGCTACAAACTATAGATGAAAGTGCACTATAAACAAAGCTGTATGATATATAATATTAATAGTGAAGACCTTATCAGTTAAAGTAGCTTAAAAATGTGTTGTGTCAGTTATGAGCCATACCTTATTTAGTTATTTATATTTCCATAGCCCTAAATCTTCTCCTTTCTCATACCTTCGTCAGTTATTAAAATATCTATTAATAACTCACATTTTTTGTTAAGGTTCTTTCTTAAGATTATCACTAACTGCTGACTTACATTAATTCATTCGTATGTAAAGGGGTGGTGTATTAAGCTAGAATGAATATTAGGACTAAGTAAAATCCATAATTTGCCCTTCCCTAATTCAACGTAAATTCACTTCACTTCACTCCACTTTTGCAGAACTAACTGCAGGTTTCCAGAGAGTTGATGAAAACGGATTGGTTGTTACTGTAACCAGTATTATGGATATAAGATTTTATATTTTTCATGACTGATGGCTGATTTTCACTTGTCTTCATGCACACCTCCAACTGGAATATATTAGAACGATGACAATTGCGTTAAGTTCCATCAATTCCAAGTAAGTAAAGGATAATGCTAGTTCACATTTACTATATCAACCATTGTGTTTCATTAAATGCTATTTTCAACGTTATAGAATACATTGCTTTCTAATCACAGTAAACCAAGGTTTGTAAATAGAATCCCCTAAAAACCCACAATTATTTATTTCTATATATTTAAATGAATGTAGTGCACATTAACAATTTAATAATATTACCTGCATATCACGATTTTCCAAGACTTCAATATATGCACCAGGGTTGAAAAGGTTATGCTTTAATTATATTTTGAGCTCAATTTTCACTTTTTGAAAATGTTATAAACACTTCAAAAAAGATAAGTAAATCGTTTTTGTGGCGATATTTCGAAGATTGCGATTAAATTATAAATAAAATCATTATTTCACGTATTTAACATCAAGCATCAGGTCATAAAGATGTTCTGGCTACTCTGGGAGTATAATTACTAAACCTCCTTTAAGTTTCAGATAATTTTTTCTAACCAGCTTCCAATTATTAAAAATAATTTGCTGCATTTTTATTAAACTTAATCAGAAAGATCTTATCGAACTTAAGATTTTTTTGTATGTTATATCAGCTCATAGCCATTTAACTTTTTACCTGTTTAAAGAAAGAAACTATTTCTTGGAATAATTAATCAATTCCATCTACATTTTCAACTTCATTTTTTTTCTTAGTTCCATCACAATTTTGTTTTGCGCATCATCACATATTTTATACATCCGTTCCTAGAAGAGTAACTCTAGAGTAACTCATTTCTCTAACCTTTTTAGATTATTCCGATACAGAAATCAAAATCAAAGTGACCTAAATCTGATATTTTATATTTGACTCACCTAAGCATATATCTTGCTTATTCTCCTTTATCCATGATGTTGTCTCTCAAATAATTTTTCATATGGTTGACGTTTGAAACCGGTATTTCAACTTTTGGAGAGATGGTTTCGCTAGGTCCTCGATTTAGTTGATCTGCAAGATATAATATAATTTGTTCAGATTTTATGCAAGTCCAAAATGAAAAGATAATCCTACTTCGGATTCCGCCAATTGTCGTGCTAAATCGGTTCCCGCATTTAATATTTCTTCATCGTTTAGGTACCGTCTACTTTCAAATACTTCGATATGGTTAAATTCAATAATTCTTGTGAAAATTTGCAAATCAAGCTCCCTGCAACTTGCAGAACCTAATCGAAATGCCGACCCTTCACTCAAGTGGAATATGTTTACCTCTAGCAAATTCGGCTCAGCAGACGATGTTGCCATTAGCACGATTTGCAGTAATGGTAAATCAAACGGAACATTCATCATCATTCGTCCAAAATTTGTATTATCAAAAATTTCTCTTAACTCGCGTTGAGTCATATCATCCAACACTGGTAAACTAGTCATCCTAAGGCCAAAATATAACGACAGATAATTTTGAAAACAACAACCGAAAAATATGAAAATATTTAATCTTGAATAGAATATGTAAATTTATATTACTTTTTTCACTTGACAGCTAAAGCATAGCAACAGTATGTATATTAAGACAATAACAGTGTCAACTATAAAAATATTTATGAACATCCTGTATATATTTCGTTTATTCGAAAAGTGCTATTCGAAAAGTGCTATTCGAAAAGTGCTATTCGAAAGAAACAAAAAATATAGTTTGAGTGATAGACTTCTAATACATACTAAGATTTCCAGTCATGAAATGTCACTATAAAATAAAATTAACTACATACTAAAGAAATTGTAAAATAACTAAGATATTTAAGAAACCGCTACAGAAAGAACGCTGATTTCTGATATCTTTTTAACTAAGGAGATAAGTGAGGGTATTAAAACATTACAGAATACTTTTGAAAGGCTTTATAAGTATTTGTAAGGTCCAACCTAACATTACCAAAAGAAATCAAAAAATGTACAATTTTTATATATATAATTACATAGCGCAATATATCATCTGAATGACAGTATTTCACAATATTGCTGATATAAAAGTATATAAGTATAATTACATGTCATAGAGAAAAATTCCCGAAGCCAGCGGTAATACAATAAAGACAATAAAGATCAAAAATCCAGCCCTCTCAACATCTATACAAAGGCTAACTATTCCAATGCAAACTCGGTACTACAGATACGCATTAAACGTGGAAACGGGCCAATAATATCTTGAGATCCAGCCAGTTGAGTAGTCACACAAATCTACACTTTTGTAAGTCAAATGTAAGATTGGTATTACTATATGAGAGTGGATCAATAACATCTCAACATCCAGCTATAAACAAAGGTCACGCATTTTTAATTTTATTAAATTGCAATTTCTGGAGATTTCTTAGAGAAGAGGACATTATCCCAAGCTAAGCTGTAATTAAACTATATTTTCTTTATTACTTAAAAAATTAGTTATGTTCATTCCCTTTTTTATAGACAATATTTAGTTAGCTCTAGCTGTGTAATTGGTTAGTTGAAATTCCCGATACTATTAATGCAGTACATATACATACGTAAGTTTATTAATCAACAGTGAAACTTCTTGTGGAGTATTGAATCTCTTCTAGATCTAGAAGTACCAACTGTTTACTTTAATTAAACACTATTTAAAAATTTGCCATACTACCGAATTTCCACTTTAAATACTTCCGTTTGGCGCTCCATTGGCGATGCGCGCTTAAAGCGGTGCAACATTTTTGGTTGCATATCTGCGGTATTAAGGAATTCCGCTTAAATGGTACGTGCTGTGAAAGTTCTCAGCCGTTAAATACGTAAACTTTTTATTTACTGTGAGCAGGCGTGTTTTGGCGGTAATAAATTAAAAAAAATTTAAAATAAAAGTAAATTGGAATAATATAAAAATCCCTTCGCCTGATATTTTTTTAACGAATAGTGTTTGTACCATAGTCCGTGTATGGGAAACTTTTGCTTCTTATTGTTCTGGTGCTTGATTATTCATGAACTCCGATGGACCTCATACTAGTCGTAAACGCCCACATCTCACCATTTGTCTGTTCCTATAGCTTTTTTAAGCGTAATGAAATGATGTTTTATTGAACTCTTAACAGAGTCATTGATCCTTTGTGCCTGACAGCTGTTGCTGTTGCTGTTACTCGGCTTGTTATTGCCATTGTTGCAGTTGAAGCAAGTTATTTTTTTTTGGAACTCTGATTTTAGCTTTATTCATTGATAGTTTTTTGTTTTTTTTTTTGTGGCTTATTCATTTATCGGTGCCAACTGCTGCACCTTCTTTGTTTTACGGGAATTCATTCACTTCATTGCCGCAGCAATTGAAATCCTTTGTTTGCATCATGCGTTTTACATTGTACTTTGGATTTCAGATACTGAGTCACCGTAGGTTGAATTCACGAAATACTAAAATCTGAACAAAAGTCAAACAAATAAGAGCAAAAGCATTATGCGGTGAGACTATGAAATAAACTGCTTTCAAAAAATGAAAATAGGACTTCCAGAAGTATTTAATATTGCACTCTGAATTGCGAAAAATGCTTTTATTTTAAATATCTTTTTTTATTTTAAATAGCTTTACATTTTTATAAATTTTAACAAATTTAGTATTTCATATTCAAATAGTTTTATATATTATTAATGTAACCTATTTTCCTAAGCGTAAGAACAACAAACCAACAAATATACGGTCTAACCCACATCTCGTTTGTACACATATATACCATATATATATTTTTTGAATTGGTTTAGTTCGAAGTAACAGCATCTTGCATTGAAGCTCACTTTGGCGGAAGTAATTGCCCGATAAGATGACACGCATCAGATTCCGAACTACACCCAATAAATTTTTCTTAACATGTTTCATACTCATCGGTTGGGTTTGCTTTTCTTATGTCAGTCGAAATATTTTGGATGATTTTGATGGTACCGACACGATTTTAATTCTTCGATTTTGTTTAGCGAACAGCCAGAAGTCGCATAGTTCCAAATCGGTTGAATAGAGTGGATACACTTTGAGAATAATGTGTGTTTTGATCAAAACTTCAAGGAATATGACGCCTTTATGCAATGATGCCTAGCTCTTGATGTTTCAATCAAAGTCGTCGAACTCTTATCTCTAGAAGTAAGAGAGCTGCCAGCTAGTATACTGCGATTAACGTCTGTGATTAATTCATTAAAAACAACATTCTTAAAATCGGTAATCGGTGAACTAATAAATGGTAGTCCGTATCTTTTGACTCTTTAAAGTCTTTTGACATTTCCATGCTATTCTTCCATGCTTGATCCAACACTTGATAAATTTTTCTAAGACTCGGTAAAGTAGGTTCGGTACTAGAATTTATTGGTGCCATTACTATGTCGGGTATATTGTTATTTAGCGATATACTGTGGACATAACTTTGCAACTTATATTTGGTTATGTGACCGTGACAGTGACAATTCTCCAGCCGGAATTTGAGAAGCTGTAGGTTTGAGCACAAAAATAATAATAATAATAATTAAAATAAATATTAATATATTATATTCATGAAAAAATAATAAAATTTCAATGCTTTTTATATTTTTTTTTTAGAAGGGAATTCATTGCAAAGTCTCAGTTGAAATTGAATTAGGTGTCTATAAACTCGTTGAGAATGCATAAAACTTCAGGGAAAAGCGCTTATTATGAAATTTGTTGTTGCATGGCAAAATTAAATTTTCAATTTCACTCACACGACACTGAAGTTTCAGTTTTAACACAAAATACATAAACTGTTTATGTACATATTTGTTTCTTTACTTCTTATAAAAACATGGAAGATACACATGTTCGTATCCCTCATTCGCATATCTATATAGTAGCATTACCATCACCATTACCATTGCCAGTACCAGTACCAGTACCATTGCCAGTACCAGTACCATTGCCAGTACCAGTGCCAGTACGTATTCGCGGTAGAGGTGTTTGGAGCTAAGAAGTTTGTAAGTTTTGGAAGAAAGTTTCACAAGGAATCGGAAACACGGCAAAGTGAGAAACGAGCTTCCTTCACATACGCGAACAGGTGCCAAAATCTGCTAGCAACTGTGTGCTACTTTCCTCTATATTTTTATTTAGATTTTTCACTTCTTGACTTTTCCAGAGTTATTGCTTTGATTTAACTTAATTTCTTGTTGCTGCTGCTGTTTTTCTTTTCAATGATTTCTGCGACGTTTCCTGATTGAATTATTCCGCTACGAGCAAAAATCTACTTCATTTCTAGTGAGCATTTCGCACATTCCGTTTACTACTCGAGATCGTACTACTGCATAGAAAAAATTGAAAGACGGAAAAAAAACAAAATGTTTTTATGAAACAAAATAGAATAAAATAAATACTGTGAAGTAGAGAAAATGTTGTAAATCTTATATTAAACGTGTACGAGGAACGCCGTGAAGTTCTAGTTTTCAGTTTTCGGTTTCCTTAACTTTATTCAATTCAAGCAAAATGCTCAATCCTTTCATTTTTCTTTTATTTTGCTGTCATAATAAACACTTTGCTCACTTCTTTCGCCTCCAGTTAATCTTCCTTAATCAAAATGTTCAAATTTTTAGGACAATTTTTTGGACGAATTCAATTCAATATGTGACAGTCAGAGTTCCAAATTTAATTGAAATAGTCCTTCTAGGTATTATTTTTGGAAGTCACTTTTGTAATCCAGTCGAGTCGGACGCGCACTGAAAGTCGGAAGTGAATTGAAATGCAGCTATACTATATTTAGTAGACGAAAACGTTGGTTATGGACACGATAGGTCTAAGAAAGCTTATTCATCAGAAAGCATGTTTGTGATCAATTTAATAGTGTGACCCATCGTTTAATTAGTTTTGTATTTCTTCAGTAAACTCTCTAATGATAGTGCTTTTATCAGAAAGTACAAAATGTTTAATTTTTTCTACATTTTTAGTATTGATATACATTTCAGAATACATAGATCTGTGTCATCTACAATATTCTCGCGGCAATATATTTGAAAATAGAAAAATACTGCTTTAGATTACATGCAATTTCGAAGCTAAGTCGAAGCCGACGTATGGCGAAGCAATACTATCATTCCTAAAATACCACCTTACGAGAATGGGTATACATACGGATAGAAACTGTAGATTCTGTGAATAGAATGTAGAGTCGGCCACACATGTACTGCCGACTCTACATCCTGGGGATGTATATTCTTCCGAAAGAGGCAATAAAACTCTGTAAAGTAGGTTCTTTACTGCTTTTTATTAACGCAACAGGGCTTATAGACCTATAGGCACAATACACCCGACGGTCACATCCGCTAACAATATTTATAATAATAATTGTTCCTTTACTGCTAAAAAAATGTCGGCCATTGCGGAGTTAATACTTCATACACTTTCTTAAAGGAATACTTTTATAGTTGTAAACATATATAATCAATTTAAACCTTCCAGGCGATGTGTATTTTAAATTAACCAAAAATAATTTGTTTAC